TTAATTTTAGAATTTTATATAGTTTTTAACCTTAATTTTTTATATAATTTTTTTGTTCTTCAACTATAAAAAATACATTTTAAAAATTTTTCTATCAATTACTCTATTAAATATATTTAAATATATACTTTTTTAACTCTTTAACTTATAATATATACACATTTTTTATCCCTCAACTTAAGAGTTTATAGACTAAAAATGTGCATTTATAGATAAACTTCACATACTAAGGGTCTATTGGATATAGTGATTTGGGGGTTGCAATTATTCATTTTATCCAAATTGCTATACAATAGGTGTTTGGTAAATTTGGTTATTTCGAATCTGTTACAAACTAAATATTTGATAAAAATTTTTATTTAGTGATTTAAAACTAATATATAGTGATTAGAGTACAAAATGCTAGTGGATTAAAATACTATTGAATATAGTTTTTTGTATTAAAACATTAGTGAATTTGAATTTTATTGAAAAATTCAAATCCTTTTTAATTTTTTACCATTGTATGTATTCACCACTTATCTAATTGATTTTAACTTTATTTTTTTACTTTAATAATATTAATTGATTATTATATTATATTAATTTATCATTGAAAGAAATCATAACTTTTAAGACCAAATAACAAAGACCAATCACATGTTAATTTCTAGTTATTGGTCATTGCATCTTAAGGATGAGCTTGTAGATATTGATTTGATTGCACTGACTGCTTAGTAGGATTGCTAAAAAATGTGTGAATTGTTGTAATATTGTTATTGTATAGTTTTAAAGTACCCCTTGTACCTTTGTAATTTCAATCATATTATCTTTGTAGATTTAAAAAAAGAAAAAAATTTACATGAGGATAAAGTGTGCAAAAACTAAAAGTTAGGACCAGTAATGTCATTTTGCCACTAACCAAAATTACTTAGGTTAAATGCGAATTTTATCCCTCAACTTGAGGGTTTTACATAATTTGGCTCTTAACTTTTCTATGCACTTTTTTATTCTTCAACTATGAAAAATGTATTTTTTTTAGTCATTCCATCAATTAAAACATATTTGCTATAATAATTAAAATTCAATGATGAAAATCCAGCCAAAGGATTCACGATAATTTTTATGTAGAAAAGAGGGTTTATGGGAAAGAAAAGAACAAATAGTGTAAAGTTATATTCATTGAGCAATTAATAACAAGGATTGAATTTTATATTTCAAGGTTTTGAGGACTAATTTACATCAATCAAGATATTTGAGGGGGTTTTTTGGCACTTTTTTTAGTTCATAGCAAAGTAGTCAATACCGTACCGGCATACTACCGGTTTTGTTATTGAAACGGCACGTATCGGATATCGAAATTTTTCACGTACTGTTTCGGATTTATCGTTATAAATATATATTTTTATAAATTAAATATCAAATTTTAAAATAAAATAAGAGATACTAATATTTAAAACTATTATATTCTTATAAATTAAAAATAAGTTTAAAATGATAATTTTTAATCCCTTAACTTTTAATGTATACATATTTTTTGTCCATCCATTTTAAATTAAGGGATTAAAAATATGTGTATTTAGAAAAATTTAACAGAGTAATTAATAGAATGACTAAAAAAATATGAAGAATGGACTAAAAAAGTATATAAAAAAATTAAATGATGAAAATTATATAAAATATTAAAGTTAAAGACTAAAAATAAAATTTACTCTTTTTAAATTTGAATTGATTTGAATGGTAACGGACAACTGTACCAAAAAATGGAAGATTGACAAGTCAAGATAGCTGGACACGAGAACAGAGGAGGATTTGCGCGACCGAAATTGTAGGGCTGGCCAAAACGATGTCGTTTTGGTTAGGAAATCTTTTTTTTTTTTTTTAAATTCTTGCATATTATACTGGTTAAATTTCGGTGTACTGGTTAAATTTCGATGCACCGACTGGTATGCCGAAATTTCAATTAGTACACCAAAATTTGACCAAAATCACCGAATTTTAATTGAAACGAAATTCATTATTATTCTATTTCGATCTACTCTAAAAATCAGTACGTACGGATTGGTACGGTACGATATTTAACTCTTTGGTTCATAGACTCTGTCAATTTAGCGTGAATCGGAAGGCTTAGGAGGGGGTTTGACCAATGAGTGTCTACGTACGCAATCATTTTGGCCTGGATTGGTCTGTTATGAGAGTATCTTCAATGTAATGTAATGGTAAACAAATGTGATTTTGAATTTTATCAAGTCTAGTGTTTAAGAGAGAAATATCTTCAATGCAATGGACGTATGATGCACGGTGCGTTGAATGGGAGCAGTTATTCTCACACGTTAAATGATTAATTTTATATTTTCTTAAAGTAATTATTTAGGTAAAAATTTATTTATATATAAATTTTATATATTATATTTATATAAAATATTAACTATTTATCAATGAT